GCAAGTTTGCTTTCATTCACAATAGTAAGTTCACTATTTCAAGAAGAGGACTCTTGGCAACAGAGTCCATGGCAACATGGAAGACCATGCCTCCTTTTGAAGTGTTCGGTATGTGGCCATGAGGAGATGCCCACACCACAGGGCAGAGGGACTGTGCCCGCTCTGTGAGGCAAGAGCTCGGTAGACTCACACAGGGCAGGGAGGTAATACCAAAGTCCAAGCTGAAAGTACAGTGTGTAGTTATGCCAGTATGCCCACAACGCCTGGGGGTATCCCCTGAGATTAGATCTTCCCAGAACTAAATGCATACAGGAGATAATTCATTCATTAATTACTTCTCTTAGTAAAGAGAAGGCAATACAAATATGCGAAGTAGGGTAGCAGGGAAGTACTCCTGTAGTTCCAAGAATCTACTGAAGCACTTTATTGAATTTTGCTCAGAAAATGACAAGGAAAACCTACAGCAGAGGGGCAGAATCATAGAATAACAGAATCGTTTAGGTTGGAAAAGACCTTAAAGATCATCAAGTCCAATTGTTAACCTGGCACTGCCAAGTGCACCACTAAACCATGTCCCTAAGCACCTCGTCTGCCCGTCTTTTAAATACCTCCAGGGATGGGGACTCAACTACTTCCCTGGGCAGACCGTTCCAATGCTTGAGAACCCTTTCAGTGAAGAAATCTTTTCTAGTATCCAATCTAAACCTCCCCTGGTGCAATTTGAGGCCATTTCCTCTCATCCTGTCGCTTGTTACTTGGGAGAAGAGATGGACACCCACCCAGCTACAGCCTCCTGTCAGGGAGTTGTAGATGGCGATAAGGTCTCCCCTCAGCCTCCTCTTCTCCAGGCTAAACAACCTCAGTAGCCTCAGCTGCTCCTCGTAAGACTTGTGCTCCAGATCCCTCACCAGCTTTGTTGCTCTTCTTTGGATGCACTTCAGTGCCTCAATGTCCTTCTTACAAGAAGGGCCCAAAACTGAAACACAGTATTCGAGGTGCGGCCTCACCAGTGTGGGGTACAGGGAAACGATCACTTCCCTGCTCCTGCTGGCCACACTATTCCTGATACAAGCCAGCACAGTGTTGGCTGCCTTGGCCACCTGAGCACACTGCCAGCTCATATTGAGCCAGCTGTCAAGCAGGTCCTTTTCCAGCCACTCTGCCCTCCCAGAGAAGCCAGCTCTCCTGCATCCTAATCCAGTGCACTGTTTACAGGATCATCCTTCATACTATGAAAAGTTGTCCAGTTGCTTGCTGAGGACAGAAGCCAGTGATGGGCACTGATTGAACTGAGTTCAGCTGAGCAAGAGAAAATCCAGAATTAGTTTATCTCAGAAGTGATCAAAAGAGAGAAAAGTGGCAGTCCTTAAATTCTGCCAGCATTTCAACTCCACATATTTATAAAACAATCTTTTTAGCTACAGATCACCCAATAACCTTGCACGATTTCCTGCCACAGTTAGCAGAGTGTCCCCATCCCACTTGGACAGGAAAGGCACCAAACTCTGTGGCTGGCAGTTCCAAGCGGTACAGCCCACCGAATGGCTCCGTAACCTCAAAGGGAGCCACCACCTTGGAGGGCAGATCTTGTCACCATACTGCTGTCTCTCTTGGATGGAGCCACACTCTTTGGTCTGCACAGCAGCCCACAGGGACCACCCTGGACACCCACTGCCGGGGCTGTGAGGGCAACAGCAGGGGATCATAACACCCCACATAGGACCAGGAGGGAGGTATATCCAGGTGGGTACCATTAAAGAACAGGTTATGTCCCACAAACAGGAGACCCCAACACAATTATCTATCTAACAGTAGTACATTAAAAACTCGGTATGGGGTTCTTCGATACTGCTGTGTTTCCATGTTGGCATCCTGAATGAAACCTGAGCGTACCAGCTGATAATCTTAAAACCACACAGAGAAGCATCATCAGTGCACATGGCAAGTTAGCACATTTCTGTCACTGTGCTTCTTATAAAGACCCTCCAAATCACTGCCACATGAAAGAAACCTACTTATTCCTACAAACCAGTTTTGCAAACTCACCCATACTATTTTCCTTACTCCATGGTCTCAAATTGAATAATCTTTCAAAAGCTATTAATCAGCTTTCATTATCTCTAAATTGCTTTTTGCTTGCTTGCAATTAAGGACTAATATCCAAAGACTTAGAAATTTATAAGGTAATTAACCATAATGAGTAACTGTTCTAAAATATGATCAACTGCTGGATATCAACAGAAGTCTTAGTTTTCCCCAGTAAACTTTCTTTTTCCATGTATTTATACAAGCTCAAAAATTAAGATTTATTTAGCAGAGGTTGAACATTCACCACAAAACACTATATGTGCCTGTTCCTTGTCTGGAAGGCAGCTGGCTAGAGACAAAAATATCTGCAAACTAGCAATTACTGTGGATTCAGAAGGTTTTAAGGTGACACTGACATGAAAGATCTATTTTTATGTGGGTGAAGTATATTTCAAGTTCAGAGAGAGGAACACGGAGAGAAAGAGAGCACGGGCGTGCTGTAATCAGCTCATGTACAGGACAAGATTCTGCTTAGCATTTGTAAGTATCACCATGTAAAATACATTTCCTTTCCTTGTTCTTCCATACAATTAAATATTGGTCAAGCAATATTAAAAAGCTTTTTGAGTAGGTCAATAGCCTATTAAGCATTTCCCAGGTTAGAATATCAAACCAAATTAGGGAGCTGCATCCAAGTGTTAATATACAGTATATATACTATATATATACAGTATATAAGATTCTTTTTAAGCCACTCCAGCATAATACCAAAAAGCTTTAGTTATGTTAATGAGACCCATTTTTCCTAAGAAAAATTATTCACTTCTTTTACGTATTTCCCTACATGTGGCATCCCATGCAACACGAGCGCAACCCACTCACTACGCTCCAAAAGTTATCAGAGAAAACCCCACTTCATCTGGTAGATCTTGCATGAACAAGACATTGCACGTCAAAACTTGTGGGATACAAGCTCCAGTCTAAAACGCTGAAAACTTGTACTTCAGCTGCAGTCCACAGAGTGCTCAGAAACCCTTCTTGATAAGAAAGTAGGGTGCACATCCTCAGAACATAACCAAGAACTGACTTCATCAATATTTCCCTGCTTTTTGCTTCCTGCAGAGCCGTAAGAGAAGTTACACTATTTCTGTAGAGAGTCGTAGCAGAACAACTAGCATCCAAGTTTTCTGCAGTTTTCTTTGGCAGCAACCACAGAAGAGCAAAACTTGAGGAAAAGTAATGTTCTCAAGACTCCATGTATCATATTTCAGTTAGACAATTAAGTCAACCATTTGAAGCTTTAAAATATATTCAGCTGTTTCATTTCAGAGCTGCGTAAGAGGAAGCTCTAAAATGAAACTGTCAACATGCAATTGTTTCCTTTCCTGTTTGTTCTGCAATGTTTCACACGTCTGTTTTCTCTTGAAAACTATGTCCCAGTTTAGAAAGCCCATGCTTATCTATACACAGGGAAGGACTCGCATACTGATGGGGAAGAAGGGGTTTATATAGAGAAAAGAAGCATTATGCCTGCTTCCCAGTGGATTAAAGTTTTCAATAGTCATTACATTGCTTAGTGGAGTAGACAGTGCTAGCCTAAGAGCAGTATTAGTACTCTGGGATGAGATTGTCCACGTTTACCCCAGTTTCAGGACTCCACTACAATCCATTTAGCCTGAGTGTCTAGCAGGAGGGCTGGCTCTGCACCCCAGGGGTGCACTGATGCTGCTGCCCTGCTCGAGGAACGAGGCTGGTTCCCTGTGCAGCGATGTGCAGCACCCTGCAGGGCAGGGCCATCTCGGGCACCACGGCACATTCCTCTCTCCCGCCATGCCAACACGCCCTTCCCAACAGCATGACCAAGGAGAAAGAGGAGGCCCCTATTCTGGAGGCAGAGCATCCCACACAGTGCTAGCCAGGAAAAACTGTCTGGAGCCAGAATCGTTTCTAATGATAAGTCTGAGGTTCTTGTAAGTTTGGGGCCCATAGTCTTTTAAGATGACAAAAATCAAGCCTTCCTCAAGGCTGAGGATGCGCTTTCTGAATGTTTTTACTTTTCCAACAGGTAACTGCTACTGATAAATACCACCTTTAAAGGGGAACATGGATTTAATAAACTCAACTGAACAAAACAGTACATCAGAAGAACTATTCAAATGGGTGACATCCAAGATTCTCATTTCCATTACCCTGTCTGTGCTTGCACTAATGACAACGGCCATCAATTCTCTTGTGATGACTGCAATAATTGTGACAAGAAAGCTCCATCACCCTGCCAACTACTTAATCTGCTCTCTTGCAGTGACTGATTTCCTCGTGGCAGTCCTAGTGATGCCCTTCAGCATTGTCTACATTGTAAAGGAGACCTGGATCATGGGGCAAGTGGTGTGTGACATTTGGCTAAGCGTGGACATTACGTGCTGCACATGTTCCATCTTGCATCTCTCTGCCATTGCTTTGGACCGGTACAGAGCAATCACAGATGCAGTGGAATATGCACGGAAAAGGACACCTAAGCATGCTGGCATCATGATTGCAGTGGTATGGATCATATCCATTTTTATCTCCATGCCACCTTTGTTCTGGCGGCACCAGACAACCAGCAGAGATGACGAATGCATCATCAAACATGACCACATTGTTTTCACCATTTACTCTACCTTCGGCGCCTTCTATATCCCACTGGCCTTGATTCTGATCCTTTATTACAAGATATACAAGGCAGCAAAGACATTTCACAGAAGAAGCGTCAGCCGGATTGTAAGGGAGGAGGTAAATGGACAAGTCCTTTTGGACGCAGGTGAAAGAAGCACCAAATTGGCTTCAATGCCCAGCACAACAGAGAAGACATCAGATCCCCTGGTGGACAGTGATAAAAGCAATATCACCCTACGAAGCCCCAGGTCTGAATCTAAGCACGAGAAGTCCTGGAAAAAACAAAGAATCTCTAGCACAAGAGAGCGAAAGGCAGCAACTACGCTGGGTCTGATCTTGGGGGCATTTGTGATCTGCTGGCTCCCTTTTTTTGTAAAAGAGGTAGTTGTTAATACCTGTGAAAGATGTCACATCTCAGAAGACATGTCTAATTTCCTAGCATGGCTGGGATATATAAATTCCCTTATTAACCCTCTAATCTACACAATCTTTAATGAAGATTTCAAGAAAGCCTTCCAGAAGCTTGTGCGGTGTAGGCAATATCTTTAAGAGCTATTATTCATATAAGGAGAACATACTCATTGTTTTTTTAACCTGTATAAATTTATATAACTGAGATGACATTTGTTGTATTTAAGGAAAAGCACCCAGACTCTGCATTTACATTCTGACTTTTTTGTATCAGTAGTATCGGGAGGATAAGTTGCCCAAGTTTTAAAGAGATGGATCATCTGGGATCAGTTTTGCTCTGGAAAAAACAGGTAGCATATTGTGGCTCTGAACCAGTTGGGATTTGCACAGCTGCCTAGCTTGAAGCATAAGGTATTACCTTAAATATGAAGGAAACACACATTTGAAGTAGACAAAGAAACAAAATTTAAAAAAAAAAACAACAAAAACAAAACCAAGTAACCCTCAGTCATCAATGAAGTTTTAAGTAAAACAACACACAGGTTTTAGACCCTAATGGCAAATAAGAAGGTAGAAAATACACCTTGGAATTAAGACATGATTTTATCAGTTTGGCACAGGCCTGCAGCATAGAGCCAAGCCATCCCCAGGGAAGGGTGGTAGCTTTAGACATACCTAGCATCATCCTATGTTGATTAGCTGAGTGCAGCTGCAGCCCTGCCTTCTCCCATAGATGAAGGACTTCCCTGTGTTATGCCTTTGCAGCACCCCAGCAGCAGGCAAGGTGCTTTCGTGGGTTACCCGTTTCATAGCAAGCCAGCGTTGTGAGCCCTCTGGCATTGCACACCCCTGACAGGCGTGGGCACAGCTCTGAGGGAAACAGCTGGTCCTCCTTATGGAGATGTTCAAAGGGAAAGAAGCATGAGATGCTCCTTTCCTCATGTCCTCATCCCTACCTTATGCACCTGGCCAGGCACAGCCCCTGTGACTTTCAGCAATAAACCCAGCCATACAGTTTGCAGCAGCACTGCTGTTGGTGGGCAGCTTGGTGAGGTTTGGTCAAGGGCCACCTAATGAAGAACTCAGGCTGGCAGCTCTGTCTCAGCATGTTCAGCCCTCCAACCCTAGGAGCCTGAGGTCCCCCAAGTCTTTTCTTGACTGACTCAAGCACTGGGGCTGTGCACCCTCTGTCCTAGCATGTGAGAAAGCAGAGACCAACCACTGTGCTGGCAGCGCGGGTCTCTGGAAAAGGCCGTGCAGCAGCTTCTCCAGTAAGGGCAGGGGGAGTGACCTCAGTACATGGTGCACGCCTGGAGAGGGGATCCCATGGGATGCTCACTGGCTGGCATCTCTAAACCCCTCCTTCCCCCAGAGTATCCAGTCCATGTCCCCAGTCACAGCAGAGCTCAAAGGACCTTGTAGGCACTCCAGCCAGTCCTGGCCAGCTGGTTCAGTCAAAGATAACCACAATGAACAAATACTTTCATAGGCTGTCTTCTAAGGCCTCAAAGACAGCACCTTGGCCAATCCTCATTTCCGTCCTCTAGATGCCAAGCCACAGCGCTAATGACTGCAAGAACAGCCCTTGCCTCAGACCAGCAGTGCAGGTTTGCCAACAGCCAAAGGTACTAACAGAGCAGTGGGCATTTACCCCTGAGTGCAGATGAGTCACTAAGAGCCATGCCTGAACCCAGGGATGGGCTGTGCACTTTTCAGGGCAAACACATTCAGGCTGTGTCACTAAGACCCCAGCTTTGTATTCACTGCCAGCCATTCAATGCTGTCTCAAAGGAACAGTGACGTGAGGCTCCTCACAGGAACTAGAAACCCCGCCGTGAGCAGCAGCAGCAGTCTCCTGCAAAGGCGCTCCGGTTTGGCACATAGGCCAGCAGCTTAGGGACATCCCAAAGAAACTGAGATATAAGACCACTATGCACACCTTTAGTTTGGGAAAGGTATCACCGGTCTTTGCAGTTGTTCTTCCAAGAGACTTTCAGCAGTTTGCGTTAGACAAGAAAACCCAGAAAGAAGCCGTCACTGTCGTTTCTCTCTCCCCCTCTCCCTCCCCTGTATTACAGACTCTGGAGTTCAACAGTTTTTGTATTCTACCCACTAGCTACCAGCTGACACAACAGCTGTCAGAGGTGTTTCTTGCAAGATGACGAGGTTTGAAACCTGAGATATTGAGCTAATTTGTTTCTGTCACTTGCAACTTACTATACGCTGCTTTTGCATCAAGGTCCAAACGAGATGCTACTCAGAAGTACTAGAAACAGTGCATTAGCTTTACTGTTGACTTTAACCCAGCCAGGAATCTAACGGAAAGCTCACTTGTCATGCCATGTAGCTCTAGCGCAGCAGTAGGACAGCTAAATTTCGAAGAGGCTAGGATGCACAGAAGGGAATCTGTCTCAGGCTCAGTGCGAGCTAGCGCACTTCACAACCACTGCAGCCAGAGCACAGCCTCTGCAGCCCCCGTGACCTCAGCAATAGCTGTATCACGCTGAAAGAGAACAACTGCTTTAAACATCAGCTGTGCTCTACTGTCTCCAGAAAGAGCCGTGGAATTCAGCTTTCTAAAAGGATTAGCAGGTTAGCAGAAGGCAGCGAAGAAAACCCCACTGAAACATTTAAGATTGAAGACCTCTGTTTCCCACATGTCCTGAGTACCAAGTCATAACATTGGATATCCAGGGGCAGGACTTCCTCTCCCCCTGCTTCTCCCTTTATGACTGCTGGAGGGTAGAGTATTTCATTTAGCCACTTACACGTAAGAAGTTTGACAATATCGTGTGAAATCAAATTGGAAGAAAAAAATAGGGGTTGCTTTTGAGGACAAAAGATTCTTAAAATACTCGTATTTAAATAATAATGGATAAAGCTCAAAGAATGGAACGATATGTAGATAAACAGAAAATAGCTGTCATTTATGCACTGTTAACAGTATTATACTCTGAATCTAATTAAGCTGCTAAACATTTCCTAAGATGCAGGGTGGTTTCTTTTGTATCGTTTTCACTGAGCTGTATCTGCTCACCCTTCAACACTCCAGTGGTGGAAGATGCAACTACAAGAAATCTAAGCAAACGAGTGGGCAGTTATCCTATTAAAAGCACTTGCGGCTTGTGGACCATCATTTCTTGGTGTCTGACTGTTCTCTAACAGAATCCACTGTGCTGAACATTTTATCACACAACCCCACACAGCACCATTTCGTCTCTAGCATTTATCCATGCATGTGATGCATTAAGAAAAAAAACCTGAGTTCCTCTTTCAAAATGCATAAAGGGTAAGATTTCTGTGGGGTGCTGTTTTCCCCTCCCCATGAACTACACAGGCATCCACCAGAGCTTAGCACTGAATTCAAGGAGCAAGGTTTCATGCACTGGAGCTAGGATTGTTTTGCAAGCAGCTCTGTGCCCTGTGAGAGTTCAGTCTCAGCAAAAAGAAAAAAAAAATGATGTCTAGTTTCCTATCTCTATCAGGAGACTGTGCGTGTATTGCAGGGAAAGGGTTTACATCTCCCCCAGGGTTTGCGCAAAACTTCCTGGATCCCTATCCCTGCTGCAGCTGCCCCTCTCTGTTGTTGTTCGCTGCCCACCCATCCACCGATCAGTTTAGATTTCTTCTAAGACCCAGAGAACTGGATTTGGAGCAGCTGACCTGCTCCCACTTCAGCTTTCACAGAGGATGGTTCCTGAAGCAGCTGTGAATGCTATATCCAGTTCAGGTGGCTGGGTTTTGCTAACAGCAAGCAGTGAAATACACCTCATTAGCCTGTGCTCACTTCTTTGCCTTTCCTCCCTGCCACATGCTTTATTGGTGTCCTTTCCTCTTGAGGATGGCACATCCCTACAAAGGGCTTAGAGATACAAATATACTTCTGTTTTAGTGATGCAGTCACACTTGTTAACGCATGACTGTACCACCCAGAAACACCCACCTCATCCAAATGCGCTTTTGGCAGTCACTGTCTTCAGCTGGTGCCTGATTGTTCTTGGTGCTAGGGAGGTACACAGAAATAACTATCTGCCAGATTATTTTCCCCAGTAGTTACAAACTCAGCACTTTATTTATATGCAAGTACACATTACTATTTGGCCTTTCCATTTCAGATTCCCTTGCAGAAGGGAAACAGAAAATCACCGCAGTAGCCATTGGAAGGAAGGGCTTTTTTGAACTCTACAAACCAAAGAGTAAGAGCTGCAAGAAAAGCATGAGGAAACCCCTGTAGCACCCCTGTAAGGATTAAGCACAAACCTAACACTGTGTCTCATCTAGAAACAGGAGCTGCACCAGAGTATGGGCAGCTGTTGGCAGACAGAGAGCTAATGGGTCAGCAGTCATCTACCAGACATGGCAGGCACTCACAAGCATTCCCAACACCCGAGCAGTAAATGGTGTCTGCTGGTGGCTCTCATATTCCTCATCCAAAAAGTGCTGCTGCACTACAGGGACAGTACTACCGATAGCAGAACTGCTAAAAATTGCCAGCAAGATGTTGATATCTTTTCCCCTGCAAAATTCAGAAATTAAACAGATTATTTTTTTCCCCATGATTTTTCATTTGTCTTTTGGGGAGCCTGGGTCAAATTTTCCTATTTTAATCCTCAACCAGGAAGGCTAAACCTCTAAAAGAAACACAAACATTTCTTTGATCTAGTGTTTCTAGTCATCATTTAGTAACTCAGGAAATGAAAGCCTTGATGATACCAAGCTTGGCTAAGAAGAAAGATTACAGAGAACAGAACAAACAGAAGTCAGCAGCATTGGCATGAACGGTCAAGGTTGCCAACTGAATCCAAAACCAGCCTTTCTGGTGTCAAATCCCTCACTCATAACAGACACCAATGACTCAAAAACAACCTTATATCCTCAGAAACTTACTAAAGTATGAGTTTCCTAAATTCCAGATGTTTACTTCACGTTCAAATGAGTTACTTTTTAAGTAAGAACTTTGCAACTCAGGAAAATTTCAGAGGGAAGTATTTTTAGGCAAGGAAAAAGTACTGTTTCATTAGTTGAGATACATTAGTACAATTTTGTATTAAAAATCTTGGTTGAGGCAGGGTGAAGTCAAGGACGTGCTTACTGAATGCCGTTACTTTTTATCCACTAGTAGCTTAAATCAATTGTATCCAGTCTTTAAGGCATATATTTATTTAAACTATAGTTTGAAGGTATTCATTGTTACATACCCAATGAGCAGCACTAACAAAATTAGCCTCCCTTTCCACTTTAAAGCAAGATAGTTCCTATACATGCATGATGGTTTCTCTTGTTAAATTAAACCTTTTCCTGTCCTGCCCATACACTTATTGATTTGAAACCCAGAGAAATATTTTATGGTTTGGGTTTAAAGACGAAAAACATGTTTAACGCCACAAAAGGCGCTAACTGCTAAGCTAATGCTAGAAGAGCAATTAATCTTCTCACTTTCAGTTTAGATCATGACTGGTAGTAGACATTTAATCCAATAGCTAGCTCTCTTCTGGCAGCACTCCAAGACGCAAAAGCTGTGGCTAATTTGTATGACAGCAAGCGTCTGCTAAGCAACTCACTTTTGGCTAAGCCTGGTTTCCCATATTTCACAGTACAAAGCTGCATAAAATAGTCTACAGCCATGAAATAAAAAATCAGCCAGCTTGCTCTCCAGTCGTTTCTAGCCTGGCAGCCACCAGAAGACAGTTGCTCCACAAACCCACACCATTAACCAGCAGGAGCAAAGCTGTGTCTTCATCCACAGCAAAAACAGTCAAAATCTTTCACATCCATCTATTATTTTGGAAGTAGCTAGGAGGCAGCCTGAGCTGACTCATGACCAGGTGGGCTCAACACAGGCCAGCACTGCTCCCCATCCAGATGCAAAAAGAGATCTCTTCAAGGAGAATGCCACCAGCAGCAAGCTTAATCAGTACTAACTAGTAACAAAACAAAGAGCAATCCAGCATCTGGCCCATCTTCCCTGGCAAGGGGAGTTCAACCAGGTATTAACAGTCCCTTAATATCAGTTGCTGCAGCTTATTGTCTGTCCTAACTGAGCTGGGCTCTTTCAGTCCTTCCAGCACGTTTAGCAAGGCAGTATCGAACTACTTCACCAACTCTGTGCTGGTCAGTACAGGGTTTGTATGCCCTATCATCATAAAGTTCAGCTCTGAAGCTTGAGGTCATCACTCAGCTTGGGTAAATGCAAAAATATTGGAATTTAAGATGATAAAAATGCAAGTTAAGGGTTTTTAGGTTGTGGATTTTTTTTTCATGTCCACTTTGGCAGCAAGTAAACTGCGATCATTTTGAATGCAAATCAGTTTTCCAAGCAAGATACATCTATAACAGGTAAGCATGACCTTATTTTTCACACACATAAATATATTGCCATTGGACTGTTAGTAACCTCATTCATTGATGGTCCTTTGCATTTTGACAAGTATTTGTCCCATCTCATTCTCAAAGTGTGGAAGAAATATTCATTAACTAGTTACCTGAGGTAGGTAGGAGGTCTTATGTCCCTTTTAACAGGTAGAAAAACAGAAGCTGAGGGAAGTAGGCACCCAGCCCCTCAACCTGGGTGAGGTCCTGGGGTGCCATTCAGCATACAAAACAAGAGAAGGAAACAAAAGGTATTTTCAAAGCTAGTGCAAGAATCACAGAATCACAAAATGGTTGAGCGTGGAAGGGGCCTCTGGAGGTCATCTCATCCAATCCCCCAGCTCAAGGAGGGCCACCAAGTCCGGACGGCTTTTGAATATCTCAAGGAGGGAGACTCCACCAACTCCCTGGGCAACCTGTGCCAGTGCTCCGTCACCCTC